TTTGGGTCATGGTTCAGTTTGTACCTTGGTTTTTGGGTCATGGTTCAATGCAAGCATTTTGGGATTGCGGCCTAGTGGGTTTTAGAACTGCTGGGAAAAAAGTTGACATTTGCCTCTTGTCTCATTTATCTTGAAGTCAAACTTGAATGCTTTTAGCCTACAGTAAAAACCGATGAAATGACATCACTGTTCCAGAATTTTCGGAGGAGCGTGTTAGGGTCATGGCTCAAGACATACCTTGGTTTTAGGGTCACAATTAGGTACGTAGCTCAGTTTTAGTGTCGCAGTTTGTTGCTTACCTTGGGTTCAGGGTCAGTGTCATGTACGTACCTTGATTTTAGGGTCACAGTTTATTACGTAGCTCATTTATAGCGGTCACAGCTTGCTATGTAAATCTGTCTCAGGGACGCAGTCATGGATTGGTCCATCCCTTAGGCTTTGGGTCACGGTTCGTATGCTCTTCAGTCATAGGATCACAGTTTGTTACATACCTGAGTTTTAGGGTCACTGCTGCTATGAACCTTTGCAAAGGTCAATTTTCTCACAGGGTCCAAAGGATGTGGTACTAATGTCCTAGTACCTGACACTCCACGTAGACTCAGCTCCAGCAGAATTCAGTTAAAACCTGTTTTGCAGAGAAAAATATTATTTTCATGAAGAAAAACATTGTAAATAGATCATTTTAATGAACACAGACAGAATTTAAGTCCACATCTCCTTTGATTAGGGATGTGTGTGCTGAGAAAGAACCTCCACTGGTGGTCAGATGTTCTGAGACGGGCCAAACGAACCGAGCCTTCAGAACTGTAGATATGAAACCGAAGCAGATCTTTTCATGTGTCTCATTAGATAGACGGGTGGAAACGCTGCTCGGAGCTCACAGGGAGCTTTGTTTAATCAGTTCCTTCACTTTCTTTGAGTCACTGGATCTGAGGCTGTTGCCCCAACAGATGGCTGCAAAGAAATTCTTCTTTTTTTAAACAGATTTGTGGAAAACATTTAGCTGCAAACATGACAAGGTAGAATAAAAAAGTAATTATGTCCAACGCTGCTGTAAGCCTCTTTGCAAAGTTTGAATCGTTCTTCTGCAGAGCTATTTACCATAAACGCTCCTTGTGACTGCGACACACGTGGGAAACTGGTCACAACAGAAAACTTTGATGTGCCGAGCAATTAACTGCTCCAGAAATGTCTTAGAATAAAAATACATTGGAGCCGAGTCTACAGATTTTATAATGTAGTGGACGTGTTGAGGGGTTCCTTCAGGGTTCTGCATACCTCACTGTGGAACCAGTCTTTACTGGGCATTGCTCTCAGCTACCACCACAACAAACTTCAGCTTAATATCTCTAAAAATGGCTCGTTTATAATATTCTTTCTTTTTAGCTCACACAGCCATCTTGAATGTTTGATTTGCAGTCAGGCTCTCCGCTACAAGTCCACCAAATTTCAGTTCCATAGCTCTAAAACCCTCTGAGGTACAAACCAGATTCCAAAAAAGTTGGGACACTGAACAAATTGTGAATAAAAACTGAATGCAATGATGTGGAGGTGCCAACATCTAATATTTTATTCAGAATAGAACACAAATCACAGATCAAAAGTTTAAACTGAGAGAATGTTTCATTTTAAGGGAAAAATCTGTTGTTTCAAATTTCATGGCGTCAACAAATCCCAAAAAAGTTGTGACAAGTCCATTTTTCCCACTGTGTGGCATCCCCCCTTCTTCTTACAACACTCAACAGACGTCTGGGGACAGAGGAGACCAGTTTCTCCAGTTTAGAAATAGGAATGCTCTCCCATTCATGTTTAATACAGACCTCTAACTGTTCAATCGTCTTGGGCCTTCTTTGTCACACCTTCCTCTTTATGATGCACCAAATGTTCTCTATAGGTGAAAGATCTGGACTGCAGGCTGGCCATTTCAGTACCTGGATCCTTCTCCTACGTAGCCATGATGTTGTGATTGCTGCAGAATGTGGTCTGGCATTATCGTGTTGAAAAATGCAGGGTCTTCCCTGAAAGAGATGACGTCTAGATGGGAGCATATGTTGTTCTAGAACCTGAACATAGTTCTCTGCATTAATGGTGCCTTTCCAGACATGCAAGCTGCCCATGCCACAAGCGCTCATGCAACCCCATACCATCAGTGATGCAGGCTTCTGAACGGAGCGTTGATAACAACTTGGGCTATCCTTGTCCTCTCTGGTCCGGATGACATGGCGTCCCAGTGTTCCATAAAGAACTTCAAATCGTGACTCATCTGACCACAGAACAGTCTTCCATTTTGCCACACTCCATTTTAAATGACCCCTGGCCCAGTGCAAACGTCTGAGCTTGTGGAGCTTGCTTAGAAATGGCTTCCTCTTTGCACTGTAGAGTTTCAGCTGGCAACAGCGGATGGCACAGTGGATTGTGTTCACTGACGATGCTTTCTGGAAGTATTCCTGACCCATTCTGTTATTTCCTTGACAGTGGCATTCCTGTTTGAGGTGCAGTGACGTTTAAGGGCCCGGAGATCACGAGCATCCAGTAGAGTTTTACGGCCTTGACCCTTACGCACAGCGATTGTTCCAGATTCTCTGAATCTTTTGATGATGTTATGCACGGTTGATGATGATAACTTAAAAGTCTTTGCTATTTTACGCTGGGTAACACCATTCTGGTATTGCTGCACTATCTTTCTGTGCAACAATGGTGGAATTGGTGATCCTCTTACCATCTTGGCTTCTTTTTTTTTTTTTTTTTTTGAGCTCAGTTTAAGTGTAGAAACATTGTGAAGTGTTTCAATGAACTTATCATCATCGCTCAATTAATTTATTTATTTATTTATTTTTTAAAGAAAGAAGAATAATTAAATAATAAAAGAGAAATAGATAAAACGAGAGACCACCACGACAAAACAACATGCACAGCACAATGCCACCCACAATATCACCATGAAACATTCGACATGGCACAAGGAATCATCTAGCTTCCACCACTACCCAACCTAGCGTGCATCTGTCAACGCACCTGAATTCAAACACCCGCGCAAGCACGCCCGCCACCAGATTTCTCCAAAAGAATGCCCAATAGTGGACGCGGGGGCCCACAGACCCGTCCCCCCAGGACACAATGGCAACATACCATCTTGGCTTCTGAGAGACACTGACACTCTGAGAAGCTCTTTTTATACCCAATCATGTTGTCAATTGACCTAATTAGTGTTAATTGGTCTTCCAGCTGTTCGTTATATGCTCAATTTCCTTTTTCCAGCCACTTATTGCTACTTGTCCCAACTTTTTGGGATTTGTTGACACTGTGAAATTTTGAATCAACATATTTTTCCTTTAAAATGTTACATTTACTCAGATTAAACTTTTGATCTGTCATCTATGTTATATTACGAATAAAATATTGACATTTGCCATCTCCACATCATTGCATTAGTTTTTATTCACAATTTGTTTAGTGTCCCAACTTTTTTGGAATGTGGTTTGTACAAACATTAGAAGCTTGCTTTAATTTGCATGGAATGATGTCATCAGGTCGTATTCTGATCCAGATGTGCTTTTATTTAAGGTTCCTGCTGATGGACCCGGACTCTACACCGGCCCCGTCTTCACCGCTGCTTCTACCGGACCCCTTTTCTCTACATGAGTTCAGAGAATACGTGTCCCCCCCTGAAGTCCAACTGGTCCTCTTGTGCATAAAGAGAAACAAAAGATCAGAACCGTCAGCAGGTTTCACAAGTTCCTTCAGTCTGAGCCTTTTTTTTTCCATCTCCATGTTAGATGAGTAAAGAGACATTTCTGATGCACGTTGTGTATGGATGTAAGTAATGTAAATATGTATGATGTGTATTGTGTACTAGCAGTTTTACTCTGTGTGTTATTAGTAGATTAGTGTAAATTGAGTTTATTCATTTGGTCGCACTGAAGCAGAGCTCAGTTTATTAATAAAAAGCTGTAAATGTCGAGCTGTTTTAGTAAAAGGTTTCAGCTGGTAAATTCTGCTCAGAGACTTTTAAAATATACAAACTGAAATAAAGATTATATTTATGTAAAGTAGCTTCACGTACTTCACACAAGTGTCATACTGTGTCTTTGTCTTGTCCTTTGTACTGGGAGCATTCTACGACCGTGCTGGTCTCGTTCTGTACAGGGTCCAGTTTGACATCACAGTCTGGATATTCAAGTGCGTAGTTAAGAGACGTACTTCTTTTTTTTTCTTGCACAGTCGTCCCTCTCTACTTCGCAGTTTGCAGACTCGCTGTTTCGCGGTTTTTCAAAGTAAGATTATACACGAGACATAATTACACGATATTACTCACGTGATTGCGATGATACGGGATACTGTACAGTAAAAAGTTAACGAAAAAACTTTGGACAGGTGTCGCTTTTTGTAGTTTTCTATCAATAAGCCTGCACTGTATTGCCGGTCAAAAGAACTACATTACCCAGAAGCCAACAGCGCTTCCAGACGCTTCTTTCTACAGAAATGGAGGGAAAGTTTTTTATCCGATCCAAAAAAGTTTGGTCCTTATTCATAGTGACTTTGGTGCTCAACAGCTGCAGAGAGCCGACCAGAACCGGACCACGGTGAGTTCCCATATAAAACTTTGAAGTCGCTGCTGTGCAGTACGTATGTATGTTATTCAAATTACGTACGTTTAAGAGTTTAGGACATTGTGGGCTTTGTCGCTGCAGGGTAGGTCTGCCGAACAGAAGCGAGCTGCTGTTCTGCAGAGCTGTTGAGTAAAATTTTGCAGTACATCTACATATGTTGTTAAAATTATGCAGCTTTAACAGTTTAGAGCATGGCAAGAGTTGGGGAAAGGTTTATAAAGCCTGTATATATATATATATATAAATACTAAAATAAATATTACGTCCCTACTTTGCAGTTTTTTACTTATTCCGGGGGTGGGGGGGTCCGGAACGTAACCCCCGTGATAAATGAGGGACTGCTGTACAAGACAAGATTCTGGTGAGTGGAGGGAACAATTTGTCCACAACCAGGTGCAGTGGTGGAGCCAGGAGGGGGCCAGTGGTGGCTTTGGCCCCCATTTATTAATCTTTGACCACCCCAATAATTTGAGGAGACTATATGTAGCGCACTTGAAGTGGACCAGTAGGGAACAGGCACTAACATCTACTAGGTTCCTCCAAGAGTGATGATGTCACACCAACCGAGTACTGAACTGGTTATTGCCTCCCAACATAAGCATCTAGAAACAAACTGTTTAGAAATGTGAAAAAATTAAATACAAGCTAAATTAAATAGAGCTCTTTCCCTTTTTATGAAAAATAAACTAAAAAGTTCAGTTCAGAATCAGAATAAACTTTATTATCATTGCACCGAGATACAACTAGAATATGTACGTACAGTCGTCCGAAAATGAGCGGAGTGCACGAAGCTGCAGCTAAAATAATCAGCGCGGCCTCTTATTCTTATTCAGAATAATATTTTGCTTAGATGAGAAAAGGAAAGAAAACATGAGGAGAGACGGTATAAAAAAAAGATCTCCGTGTCCTAGACAGGGCACAATTTGAGGCATCTAACAAACCTACCACAGCAAAGCAACATCAACAGACGTTATACATGAACATATAGGCCGTGAAGACATTGAATTTTTAAGGGAAAGTCGTAGCATAGTCCAGAGCCCCCCCTCAGCCATTGTCCAGATAAGAGGTGACGTTCATCTTCAGCTCAGTTGAGGTTCTGTTACATGTCCACGGCCTTGGAGAAGGGAGGGGTGAGGAAACAGTCAAAGCATCTTTGTTGTTTTCTGAACATTCCAGGAGGAGTTGAGATAAGTCCGGCATCAAGGCCACAGTTTGGGTCAGGCAGAACTCGTGAATTGTTGTTTCTGCCTTTAAAGTCTCGCTGGTACATATTCTCTGATGGAAACTCCAAAACAGCCGAAATGATTCCTTAAAGTCGAGCTCACAGCTTTTCCAAGATTATTCCCACCTTCATGAGTGCTGCTAGAGAGTCCACAGTCCTGATAACAGCTGCTCCAGCTCCCTGCTGCAGCTCCACAAATTCAGTCTGAGTGCTGTCGAGCTTCAACACATCCACACGAATTTGTAGACAACCCAGAATTCACAAACCAAACAGCAAAATAACCAGTTGTCATCATGAATCCAATTTGTCTCCATCGATTTAAGAGGGTCCTCCTTACCCTGACTCCTGTCGTGAGAAGTTGATCAATTTTGTTGAGAGACCAGCTGATCCTTCCAATTAAGAGTTATGCAGAAAAAAACACAAAAAGAGGCTTTTTAAGGGTTCACAGGATAAAAGAGTGCAGCAGGGAAGTGGGTGGGGGAGACAGGGAAACGCGTCTGGTTTCACCGGAGGACAGAGAGAAAAAAAACTGTTAAAATACACCTTTAGCAACGTTGCTACCCGGGCAGAGTTGTGTATTGAATCTTATCTGTAACCCAAGAAGAATTTTCCAGATTGTGAAGGGTCTTCTGTGGAAGGACGTCCCGGCTGGCCACACCGTGTACACCTGTCCACAGGTCACATGGACTCGCAGAAAATTGTGAATAACAGGTTACATCAACATTTACCTACATTTGTAGACACTTAGTAACATTAGTATTTTGGAGAGGAACAGCAGGTTGTGTGTGAATGAGCAGCTCTGATTGTGTCAGGTGTCCTAACCCCCTCCTCCGCCCTCACTTCATGGTTCTGAGCTGAACTCTTCTCCTCCTGCTCCAGTCTCGTGGCACCGTTATAGATAAGTACAAGTATAAGATAAGTACAAAATATTACAAAGTGCATGAGGGGAGTGGTGGTGCAGAGGTTATAGAAGGTGAACCTGTGATTGGAAGGTCGCCGGTTCAACCCCCCGTACTGACCACGTCCTCCCTCATTTGCTCCACTCTGGGCCCTTGAGGCAGGCCCCTTAGCCCCCCACCATCCACTCTGTCGGCTCCACACAGAGGGCTGTGGTAACTCGGTGGGCTGTGATCGTGTCAGGAAGAGCACCTGGCGTAATCATGCGAGTTAGTTGCTGTGGCGCCCCCTGAGGAAGGGAGCAGCTGAAAGAAGAATGAATAAAGAAAGTGTACAGTGCTTGGAGAAAAGCTGTTCTGGTTTTAGATCAAATTTCCAGCCACACGTACTGTAGAATGTACTGGGTTCACGTCTAATCTGGCGTGTTTCTAAAGGAGAACTCTGACCCAGATGTCGACACATAGACACATTTCTGTAATAAGCTGTTCCGCTGCTTTCAGCTCAGGTAGTCTGAGATATGGTTTAAAACCTTGTTTTTAGATCGCACGAGAAATTATAAACAATATTTTTAAAACTAAAATGTCAGTTTAATATACGTTGTCTGTCTCATCTGTATTTTGTGCTTTTAGGATTATATGAAGCTTCGTTAATTGTTTGTATTTGGACTCCATAATGTCGGTGAGTATTTGAGCTGGTACCAGACTGCCCTTGGTTCTGTACAGATTAGTGCTGGTTCCTGCCTGTTGCATGCCTCGGGTCAGCTGCAGGCTGTTTGTCCAGGAACTGCTGCTCATTAGGCTGACAGTGACAGCCATTTTGTCTTCCTGCCGCCCCCTGACTGTCCGGCCATCCATGAGATGTTAAGCTGCATGCTAACAGCTAGCTGCTAGCTGTCCAAAAGGAGCCTGTAAACAGTGTGGCCTACAGAAGAGAGTGGCAGACTTTGGCAAATAGGGTCCAATTACAGCATTTAGGATGAAGAAACCATAATTTCTAGAAAAATTGACGATTTATTAAGCAACCAAAAAACAACCCGACACCAGGAGGTAGAGAGGAAAACTTGTTCTCTACAATGCAACTCTTCACCTGAAATACATTTTGTATCTTCTTAAAGTACGCTGGTGAAGGTTGTCAGTCATCCAGGACGTGGTCAATTCAAAAAAGTTCAAGACAAAACCAACTAGACTTTATTTGTAACAGAAGACGTTTTGCGTCTCATCCGAGGAGCTTTCTCAATTCAAAGAACAGGGAGTGTGGGGTTCAGGTTAAAAGGCTGAGATAAGATACATACATATGCAGATTGCTCTGTCACTCCTCACAATAGGGGTTCATTAGGGTCTTTGTTAGTTTGACTTGGCTCTGCATATACTGTATGGTGGAACATGGTGAAAGGCTGGGCGTGTGCTCGCACATCACTTGGCGGCTACAGACATCCAACCAAACTATTACAGCAATAAACAATGAACGGGGATCTACATGCCGATGATGCTGAAATTAATAGCCTACGTGTTTTAGTAAATTTTATCAGCCGTTGTAGACAACTGAGTCATCAGCTAACGTATCGGACATGGAGAACGTTTTTGGAGATCTTGAACTTCCATCAGTGAATCCTGATCTTGTTGGAGACTTGGAGAGGTAGTTCTCTGTAGCTGAGATAAACGCCCCTGCATCAATTATGTCCATGTGTGTGTTTGTAATGAATGCTCCTTCTCTCTGTGCAGCTGATTGGCTTGGGATGGCTTAAGAGGACCAAGCTCCACCTGCTAGATGAGCGAGGGAGCCCAGAGGAGATGCTGGTCTGAGGGTTGACGGTTCTTGTTCTCCAGCCTCGCTCCCGCCATGGCCACAGATTATTGCACCTTGTAGTGTTTGTTGTTGTTGTTGTTGTTGTTGTTGTTGTTGTTGTTGTTGTTGTT